GTGTGTGTGTGTGTGTGTATATGAGTGTGTGTGTGTGTGTGTGTGTGTGTATGAGTGTGTGTGTCTGACCTCGTGCGGCTGGAGCTTCATGTCACTGAGGACCGTCTGGAAGAACTCAGCTGATGGTTTTCCCACCACCTCGGCCTGGACGTCACACGCGTACTGAACAACACAACACAGGTGCATCATGGGAATGAACTGCGCTGATAGAGGGGCTGCTGGGAAATATTCCTGTGTGTTCATCACTTCACTGCATTCCAGACATATTTTAGTAACACTGAGACACTATTATAGCTTTTATTAATAATTAGAATTTTGATTTTCAAAATCTCTTTTTTTATTTCAGTTTAAATGTTTTTACTATTTTGCTGTGTTTTTACCGTTTCATTTATTTTCATTTGAATTTTTATTAAATGTTATTTTAATTTTATCTGCTTTGGCAACTAGCTGAAATAACGTGTAAAAACTAAGGAAAATGTTTTAATGGTTTTACTTCACTATAATAACTGCTTCACTTTCTTTAAAATAAGGAACCATCAAATCAGGTGAGAGCGAATATCACACACGTGACCTTTGACCTGCTGCATTCACCTCCAGTGCCTTCATAAACACACCCACGTCCAGCTTCAGACCGTCCGTCTCCTTATAGTAGCGTCTGCAGAGAAAACATGACCTGTATCAGACACACACCACTCAATCACACGAGTCTGTTTATCTGGAAACATGTCGTCTGTTTCCAAACCACCACAGCCTGACCTCTGACCTCTCCAACACACTTATAGTTCATCATTTCTCCAGCCTAAGACAGGAACCCGTTTGAAAGCAGTCAGATGTGCGCGTCTCACCCTTGACCCAGCGAGAACAGCAGCGGTTTCTCCAGGCCAATCAGAACACGGAAGGCTTCGTTCAGGTTCTGGTAGGAGAAGTTATCCGCAGCGTCTCCGATGACAACACAGTTTGGAGAACTCATGTCCACACCGTCAAACTCCGGGATCAGATCTGAGATCACACACACACACACACACATATATGAGTGTGTGTGTGTGAGTGAGTGTCAGTGTGAGTGTGTCTTGTGTGTGTGTGTGTGTGTGAGAGAGTGTGTGTGTGTGAGAGAGTGTACTGGTTTATATATCCTGGTGGGGACTTAA